ATATTTATATATTTATATATTTATATATTTATATATTTATATATTTATATATTTATATATTTATATATAAATATACATATACATTTATATATTTATATATACATATGTTTGCTATTTGAAATAACTCTGTTGAAACTCACTTATCGAGATTATCAGTAGTGCTGGAGGAAGGCTTCTTCTCAGTTCCGACCGTGGAACTGCAACAGAGATATGAAACGTTGCTAGAAAAAAGTACATCACTTTTAGAACGAAGTCCTATGCAGAGATATTGTCAGGATTTCCGAGACTTCATGACGAATAATAGTTACTGCGCAGTTTTTTTTTCCTTTTCGTGCTATGTATTTGTTTTGGACTGCTGTATCTCTCACACAACCATGTTGCTTTTGCTTTTATTGAGTTCTTTATGCTCATATGTATAAGCGTGTTGAATTAAGCGCATAAGTAAACAAATAAAGTTAGGACCACTGAGAGGAGGAGGCAATGCACTTAGAAATGAATGGAGCTGTATTGGGTTAGATCAAATAAAAAGTCGAGCAGCTATTCACTTAGTCGTTTAGCATCCAGTATGTGCTACTATACGCGTGTTTTGGGGTTGTAAGCTCCGGCTGCCCTTCGTTAGTCTGTGTTGTTGCTTTTAATTGGAGACGGAACAGACATATAGTAATCAATCCTTGAATTATTTCGCCTCGTACTTGGGTGCGAGCCAGCACTAATTAGGACGGTAGCTGATCGAGAGGCTGGCCGATTTGGACGAGTTGGTCGACGTAGAAATTGTGTTGTACGGGTGGCAAGTGAAGCCCATGCGTCCCAATGGCAAAGTGGCTGCGAATGGCCGCGCCAAACGACCGCCTACAGCATACTGTATTGAACAGTCACCATTAGTAATTGCAAGACTCTGGTGCAGGCGCAAAAGATGTTCAGAAGTTGAGCACTTTTCCCTAGAAGAATAATCACAATTTGATGATTGAAAAAAGTAGTCGTCAAACATTAGTGAAGCTTTATAGAAGTGAACACCCGTGTATATGCAGTCGCTGGGCTAAAGGGATGTATTGATTGGATAGGAGTTTTGCAAAACAACAATCGCAGTTTCGGGAGCCTACACAGCTTATCGTTTCGTACATACTAGAGCTCTACGAAACCATCGCGGTGTTCATGAGAAGTCTTGAATTCATTTTGAGCCCCAACGATCTACATCAATAGAAACAGTAACTAACACATGATCACTATGCATCTATAATTATATGTCCCACGCGACCAGAAAGAATCACGCTGGAACATAAAAATGCGATGATTTAAGGCTCACGCTTTTCTAACGGTTTTTTACGCTTAACAGCACAT